CCCCGCGAATTCACGTCCCTCGGCTTTATGGATCCACGTTTGTAGGAGCATTCGGACACCCGGGGACTTCTCTGAACATGCGAAGCCACTGGACAGGATGTAGCCCCGCCATATATCTAACGCATATTCCGGAAACAAAGGAGCTTTCCTCGAGATATAAGGAGATATGAAACCCACTCGGGGATTTACATCCGCCTTCCCACCGAATATAACACTAGGTTTACGGGACCCGTCAATTTGACGGAATTCAAACTTCGAAAAGNATAATAAAAATTCATTTTTTACTTCACGATTATTATCGGACACTTCATTTGGTATCAAAATCACGAGAAATTTTTCCAATATTTTCGTTCCGCTATTTCATTATGGGAGCTAAACGTGTGATTTTGATTTTAAATATTTTTCAAACGTTTATAATGTATTCGGCAGATAGTATTTAATAAAATACTTGGATCAAAATGAAACGAAATGTTTTGTATATCCGGTAGAAAAATATTATGAAACACATGGGGCTAATATTATATAAATATTACAGGGATAAAATTCCAAAGTAAACGTTTTGCAAATATTTCAAATGTCTGCTAAATATTTACAAAATGCATTACAAATACGATATTCATTAAATATATAGAAAATATAGGACAAATATTTTGTGCTACTAGGGTACAGTTTTTGATCGAAGAGATCTTTTTCAGAATTATCTCATATAAATATTGTTACTACGAATTGGGGATTTTCGGAAATCTGTTTTCATGGAATTTGACGTTTAGGTTTACTAGCCTGGTATAGAACATTTTCTTTTTAATAATCTCTTCAAGTTAAGGTCAATTGTAAAAAGATAAATATTAATGGCGTGGCCTTTGTTATTTCGTATTTTGTGTATGGAGTCAAAACAAAGGTTATGGGAGTATGCTTGTTTGAAACCGTTATTCTTGTAGAAAGATTTTTAATATATGCAAGGTTTATAACTTGAAGAGGTAGAAATTGATAATTGTATTTGAGGAACTTTGAAAATTGATGTCGATTGGAAAAGAATGTGGAAAAATGGGGAAAGTATTACGGAAGATGCGTTTTCTTGACATGGTATGAGATTTCGTTGAAGGACTTTGATTTTGCAGATTGTCTCAACCGGATCAACGTTCCTGACAATAATGGAACTCAGGCAAATCGAAGATCCGACTAATCGGACTCAGGAATAATTGAGTTTCTCTTCCAGAAGTTTCTTGCTCCGCGTAGCTAATAGTTTGAGGTAGTTTTCTTGTTTGCTAACTCAACTCTTCGACTTCCACGATTCTATTATTTGACTCCCTATCGAAGGGAGTACGTATCGAAGTACCAAAAACCTAATTCTCTAAAAGTTCTCGTAATTGGAGGGCATGGATTTAGATTTTGGAATTCATTTTGAATTAACGACGATTTTCTAATCATTTTACAGTTTACCAGGTGTATAAGCTTAAATCCGCTGTTTGCTCATAGATTGCGTTAGTGAGCATATTAAGTTACTATAGGCACGCCATATTTTTGATTTGTATGAGTTTGATATTTGTCAACATTAATCAGGGTACATCATCAGCAATTTCATACAACATACATTTGTCCTTTGGTAATCGTGTCTAGTTTTTTACCAGAAAAAGAGCATATACGGAAAGCTCTGCTTTTTTGCTTCAATTTGAAGAAATCGGTTGCCGAATCGCATCGGATGCTCGTGGAGGCCTATGGCGACAGTGCTTTAACGGAAACAACGTGCAGAGATTGGTTTCGTTGGTTCAAAGACGGCAATTTTGACCCGAGCGACAGGAAGCGTGAAAATCGGCCAAGGAAGTTTGAGGACCATCAATTGCAGGCTCTTTTGGACGAGGTCGATACCCAATCGCAAAAAATGCTTGCCGAGCAATTGGATGTTCCTCAACCAGCCATTTCCATGCGCCTACGTGCCATAGGAAAGGTTCGAAAGATCGGAAAATGGGTGCCGCATGAATTGACCGATAGGCAGATGGAGCGACGCCAAAACATGCGAAATCTTGCTCGCCAGACAAAAAAGGATGTCGTTCCTGCATCGGATTGTGACCGGCGATGAAAAGTGGATATTTTTTGAGAACCCTAAACGCAAGAAATCGTGGGTTGATCCCGACCAACCATCAAAATCGTCCGCAAGACCAAATCGCTTTGGACGGAAGGCGATGTCGTGCGTTTGGGGGGATCAGCAGGGTATCGTGTACTAAGAGCTGTTGAAACCTGGTGAAACTGTCAATGCCCACCGCTTCCACCAACAACCGATCAAATTGCCCCGTGCACTGCGTGAAAAAAGGCCGGATTATCGGCAAAGACATGACAAACTGATTTTCTTCCACGACAACGCCCCATCGCCCCCGTCAAAAATGGTCCGAACCTACTTGGAGGCCCTCAACTGGGAGGTGCTACCCCATGCCGCTTATTCCCCAGACCTGGCCCCTTCCGACTACCCCTGTTTTCGTCGATGGGCCCCGCGCTCGCTGAGCAACACTTCGATTCTTACGAAGAAATCGTGGGTTGATCCCGGCCAACCATCAAAATCGTCCGCAAGACCAAATCGCTTCGGACGGAAGACGATGCCGTGCGTTTGGTGGGATCAGCAGGGTATCGTCTGCTAAGAGCTATTGAAACTGTCAATGCCCACCGCTCCCACCATCAACCGATCAAATTATCCCGTGCTCTGCGTGAAAAAAGGCCGGATTATCGGCAGAGACTCGACAAGCTGATTTTCTTCCACAACAACGCCCCATCGCACCCGTAAAAAATGGTCCGAAACTACTTGGAAGCCCTCAACTGGGAGGTGCTACCCCATGCCGCTTATTCCCCAGACCTGGCCCCTTCCGACTACCCCTGTTTTCGTCAATGGGCCCCGCGCTCGCTGAGCAACACTTCGATTCTTATGAAGAAATCGTGGGTTGATCCCGACCAACCATCAAAATCGTCCGCAAGACCAAAACGTTTCGGACGGAAGACGATGCCGTACGTTTGGTGGGATCAGCAGGGTATCGTCTGCTAAGAGCTATTGAAACTGTCAATGCCCACCGCTCCCACCATCAACCGATCAAATTATCCCGTGCTCTGCGTGAAAAAAGGCCGGATTATCGGCAGAGACTCGACAAGCTGATTTTCTTCCACAACAACGCCCCATCGCACCCGTAAAAAATGGTCCGAAACTACTTGGAAGCCCTCAACTGGGAGGTGCTACCCCATGCCGCTTATTCCCCAGACCTGGCCCCTTCGGACTACCCCTGTTTTCGTCGATGGGCCCAGCACTCGGTGAGCAACACTTCGATTCTTACGAAGACATCCAACAATGACTTGATGTTTGCCTCGAAAGAGAAGGAATTTTTTTTGTCGTGGTATCCACAAATTGCCCGAGAAATGGGACAAATGTGTAGCTAGCGAGGGTCAGTACTTTGAACAAATTATTTTTTCGCTCTCTATGAAAAAAACATGCGTTGTTCTGACTAAAAAACAGCGGATTTAAGCTTATACACCTGGTATGATGTGTGATGTGAAATATAAATAAACATGACACGAATGATTTAGGTCCCCACAATGTGTTAACCATTCAATTTTAACGTACATTTTTTAATTAATCGTCAGGTAACAGACAACTCGTCAACTATTATTTGAACTATTCGTAGTGATCCGAATGTATAGTGTTAAATGTTCTTCTTAAGATAATTTTGTTCTTATAATGTCACCTCTATGACTGACGCGTTATTAATTTTCTCTAACAGTAAGAAAACTAATAAGATGTCTGAAACAATATCAAGAGAGATGCTTCTTACTTGAAGCTCGTCATCATATTTAATAGAATGTTTAACAGATAAGTGGAGGTTTAATAACTTCAAATTTCTTGATCCACTTATAATAGTGCATGTATAGTTAATTGCATTTTTTTCATCTACAATTTGGATTGAACACTTCCCTTGAACGTGCTACCTTTTCCAGACTACCCTAATCATGACAAAAATTCAAGGATATACAATTTAAAACAATAAAATTAAAAAATTATGGAAAATAAATTTCTAAAAATCAAATTGGAGAACTATTATATATGAAGGGTGTCCTTTTTAAGAACCCTCTCTTTAAACTCGAATTACTTTTTTATTTTTTAACCACGTCTAATGAAATTTTAAATATAGCATACTGACACCATAAAGCTTTTTTTTTCCTAGAAAGAATAATATTGATCTGACTACGTTATGAAAATGGCGTCACTTTGATAACATGATGTTACATAATTTTTTAGTTGCAATTAGAATTTTATGGGGAATCGAAATGGACTGAAACTATGACGCTAGGAACGTTCTGAACAAAGTTATGAAAAATGTCTTCTGACACGAAAACGAAAGTTGCAACCCGAAGTTTATTATGTAATACGGAAATAATAATAAATTTGATGCACGTATTCAAAATGATGCAAGAATGTTGTCAATTTTCAAGGGTAGACACCCTACAATGTCAAAGTTTAAAATTTCATTAGAATTAGTTGAAAAATGAGGAAGTTACTCAAATTTGAAGAAATCTTAAAAAGAATGCCTTGTAGAATAAAATATAGACAATTTTTTATATTTATTGATGTCTACAGTCGCAATAAGTATGGGTATTAAACAACTTTCTACAGTAGATTGATGGTAAAAGCGTAACATGTGTATATCAGACAATTTTACAATTGCCGGAAATAAGGTTTTCAAATAACACAAAATATAATTCGAGAGCTTTAAAGTAGAATGTAGAAATCATGCAATAGAAAATTCTAAATTTACGCGGAATAGAATTCGAACACTGGAATAGAAATCAAAAATCAAAAATAAAAGTTCTAAAATTATATGAAATAAAATTCGAAGACTTCCGAATGGAAATCTAAAATCATATAAACGACACTTATAAAATGAAAGGTGAAAATTTGTTATGTATAAGAAAAATCTAACATTGAGTACGTCACATCTCGACGTACTCATCTAAGTGAGCCCACTCACCAGTATCCGAGCAACTGGCGTTGACCATGGCGGGCACACTAGGAGAGCTGGCGTTGTGGGCTTCGTAGTGGTTCCGATGACGACGAGACGTAGGTGTGTCGGTGGAGCCATTGAGCATGACGTGGCTGTGTCCTCGTCCACCCCCGTGCTTTTCGCACCTGTATCCGGTGCCTCCTAGAGCCCTCCTGTGGCCACACTCCCCTATGACGTAGGCCTTGTCGAAGGTGCCCGAGGACTCGTCGTGGCCCATGGACCTGGAGACGTTCTCCGTCGATATATAGCTGATGGAGTTGGCGGGAACGCTGGGTCTCCGCTTCTCGAAGAGTTCGTGATAGGAGTGGGCCACCCCGTTGTTCTTCACGGAAGATCTCCTCCGAAGAGTCGCCTGGTGAGTGCTTACCGAGCCTGGGAAAAGTGGTTCAGGAGCTCCAACTACTTGGCCAGATTGCTGCGAGGACGAGGGCCTCGCCGAGCAAAGGGGGACATTAGTCGAGCTATTAAACGGATCGATCGGCCAGCTTTCGGAGGCCCGGGACCGGGAAATTAGATGCTGCGCTGGATCTCGGAGCAAATCCAGTGCAGCGGTGAGAAAATGCAGGACCAAGACCAACCTGAACGACACACCTACCCTAAAGACGACGAAAAGGTGTCCTTTTCGGGTCATCTCTTCGATACGACGAAGAGATGTCTAAAAGATGTCTACCATTACATTTTGCAAAATATCACTGACTAAAAGATGTCTATTGATTCCGAAAAGGTGTCTATAAGTTGTGGGGAAATTAGATGCTGCGCTGGATCTCGGAGCAAGTCCAGAGCAGCGGTAAACAAATGCAGGACCAAAACCAATCCGGACGGCACACCTACCCTAAAGACAACGAAAACGTGTCCTTTTCGAGTTATCTCTTCGATACGGCGAAGAGATGTCTAAAAGATGTCTACCATTACATTTTGCAAAATATCTCGGGCTAAAAGATGTCTATGGATTCCGAAAAGGTGTCTATAAGATGTGGAGAAATTAAATGCTGCGCTGGATCTCGAAGCAAATCCAGTGCAGCGGTGAGAAAATGCAGGACCAAGACCAACCTGGACGACACACCTACCCTAAAGACGACGAAAAGGTGTCCTTTTCGAGTTATCTCTTCGATACGGCGAAGAGATGTCTAAAAGATGTCTACCATTACATTTTGCAAAATATCTCTGACTAAAAGATGTCTATGGATTCCGAAAAGGTGTCTATAAGATGTGGGGAAATTAGATGCTGCGCTGAATCTCGGAGCAAGTCCTGAGCAGCGGTGAACAAATGCAGGACCAAAACCAACCAAGACCCCACATCTACTCTAAAGACGACGAAAAGGTGTCCTTTTCGAGTCATCTCTTCGATACGGCGAAGAGATATCTAAAAGATGTCTATCATTACATTTTGCAAAATATATCGGGCTAAAAGATGTCTATAGATTCCGGAAAGGTGTCTATAAGATGTCAGAAAGTAAGTAGAAGGACGCAGCATCGACGCTATTTCGGTTAGATGCAGTTTTGTTTATGAATATAATTTAAATATTAAAGCATTACGTTTTTGTGGAAAGATAAACTCAATTTCTGACGTGTAAGGGTCGCTGTCATTTGCTATTTTATTTTGTTTAAAAATTAACATTCACGATGACGAAGCGACCTTGCCAATTAGTTTTGACAGGACTGATCGATGGCGCTGGCGTGGCTTTCTCGCAAGTGGTGTAGACAGCGGTTCGTTCGTATATAAGACGCGTTACTAGGCTTTACCTTTGAGTGGTGATGGAATTTCTCAACACTGTTTCAAATACCCCGCAGTCCAGGTAGACATCAAGAGGAACCGTCCCTCCCCGGAAAATGGGTGGGTAGGAAGGAGGGATAATCGAAAACTACCCTCTGAAGTTAAGGAAAAAGCATCGAATAGAAGCCAACGAAAAGATGTCTAGATTTGATCATCTTTTAATCTTGAGGAATAGAGGAGCATTTGGCCTTGACTAAAAGGTGCGAAAATTCGATGCATAAGACGTCTTCTTTTGTCGGCCATATGATGTGACTAAAGGATGACTTTTCGGAAAATTCATCATCTTTTAGATATTTTTTAGTCATCGTTACGCTGCGTGGGAAAAGATTACCGTGGTTTAGGTCTTGGTCTTGCATATTTACAGGACCGAGAATGATTTTGCTCCACCTCTTTGTGAAAACTGTGATCCGTTGAAAATTTGATTTTCCCTCATTGCACTGTCCGCTTCGATTTTTTAGCCATCGTTCCGAAACATATTAGGGTAATTACCGTCTAAAATTTTCCTTAAAGGCGGATTAGAAACGGAGGTACGATATGGAAACTTGGGACTATTGAAACGATGGGTCATACACCGCGGAGTATCTTGTGCGAAAAATATAAATGTCTCTCTTTAAAAACTGGATTCACATTTCTTTTCTCTTCCTAACTATTATTAAGTGCAACCGCCACGCGAGAGTATGGTAAAGTGCTACATCGTATACGCAAAGTGCAAATCGTGATATGATGACCAAGTCAAAATGACCCAATCTCAGTTTAACCCTTTTAGTGCCGGCCGAAGTCGTTAGCACTTGTAAAACGATGATATATCGTCGACCAGCACTAAAAGGGTTAAGGGTTAAAAAAGGTGGTCCTTCTCTTTCCCGAAATTACCCTAACAACAAGACAAGACAAAACTGGATTCACATTTCTTTTCTCTACCCGACTATTATTAAGTGCAACCGCCACGCGAGAGTATGGTAAAGTGCTATATCGTATACGCATAGTGCAAATCGTGATATGAGCCGCTCAGTGCACACATTGATTAACTCCATAAAACAAAAAGTTGAGAAATGCGATGAAGTAATGTAGATTCTTTTTTAAAATTCCTATTATAATATAACTTCAAATATATAATGTAGAATACATAAATACAGTTATAGTTTTCATCTAACGGTATATAAAATTAATAAGAAAGAATAGCCAAAAAATAATCGTCAGTAATGTTACGGTTTTTATGTCACTGGTGGAGTTAATCGATTTGGCAACTGAAAAAAGTAATAAAGTGAAATTCTGTCTTTAAATTTTTAAGTTTTTTATTACATAAAGAGTTAGTTATTCAGCAAAATAAATAATGTCTTCTTCGTCAGCCCTATGTAAGGTGTTACGTAGGTACCTTCCGTACCCTAAAATAGGAAAAAATCCGTTTTTTTTATTAACCGGAGTCAGCCATGGAAATCCGAGTACAGAAACGCGAAACCCTTGCGAAAGAATTCAACGAGTTCACCGGCCAAACGGCTCCAAAAGTCACGACCGACCCGGGGCAAACAACCTGACGACTCCGCAACGCATCAGCACGACTCCGAAGTCCACCCTCACCTGCGCCCTAGGAAACCCCCACCAATTGGAATATCCTGCTAATAAAACCAGCAGTCCGATCAGAAGTCGGAGCTAGTCAGTCTTTTAGTCAATTTGTGATAAGTCCACGTCAGTCATCATCAAAACTTCGAGTGGAGCTCCTGGCCCCGGTACTCCGTTCCTAGCGAGTCAGAGACCGAGACCATAGGACTCCCTGCCAAGGACCACTATCCTGCGAGCTGCAGTAGCGCCATCCGGTACTCCAGCGATCCAGCCACCGAGTCCGGACTAGACGGCGGCACTGCGACTTCCGTTGGACGGGAGGCTTCTAGGAGACCTCCAACCCTAGGGCACGCCACGGGACGAAGGTGTTCACGCACTGTCATCCGACCGGGTCGATCAAAAGAGACTGTCACCGATTACGGCCGCTGAACAAGCCAGGTAGAGGATTCTTCGCAAGCTCGATTCATCCTCATTTTCATTCTAGTTTACTTATTAACCCTTCATCTCCGACCAAAACCGAATACTAACCATTATCGCGATTTCCATGCCTTGCTCCGGTTAACCGGATAGATTAAGAACCCATCGATTTACTTTTAACAGCTGAGCTCGAATCTCAGCATCGCGAGATAGAGTCACGCGCAGACCACCATTAAAATATCAAGAATTCCCGCGTCAGCACTCCGGCGTCCAGTAACCTGCCGCCGCTAAAGCGCGCTATCGCGACACCCGAACCTCCGCGACGCGGAAGTATACCAATCCAGAGAAATTAGGTCACGGCACCTCGTGCGCTCCTCACAGCTGACTGTAGTTCAAACCTCGCGTACGAATAAATACAACCCTTATCGCCACATAGCCTTTCGTTCGCACCCCCTTTTTATTCCTCACTCTCCTAGATCCCACCAGAGGAATTGATCTAGCCGCTCGGATCAATCTCCTCACAAACTCAAAATAACCGTTACGCGCAAGATTTGGGTAATCTCCATCCGAATTACCCCGGCCTCGCATCCGCTCGGCCGCCCCGTAACAAAGGATTCGTCATTTCGATTTGTTGTCAAGTTTTTATAGTAATCATGTTTAACGGGAGGAATGAATTTCAGATGACAGACAATCAGATGAATCCGAGAAACACGATAAACGTCTTCTTGCACCAGACTTTCTGCTGATAAATCATATCGAGGAATCATCACTGCTTTCCACATCCACATTGTTATTAATTTCACTCATCTTGATTATAACGGTATAATATTTAATTCTTTAAAAACAATCAGGGAGTAATGTTGAAAAGAGCAAAAAATATGTAGTCCGTGTAATATTGGTGAAGTATACGATAACATTCAGCGTGAGAGATCACTGTTATACCAACTACCTTCTGCATTGCGCTTCTTTCTATCCGTTTGCTGATGCGATTTTATTACTCATATTGTTGAAAGGGGGAAAGCATCTTCGGCTGTTTAAAAAAAAAGCGTCGATGTACGGCCGCAACAGATAATCCAATAATACTATACTGCCAGGTATTCGTCTACGATTTACATTAGAGTATGGAGTTAATCAAAATGGCTTCTGAAGTAAATTACTTATTATTCAATGCCCAACAAAATTTTGCCGTTTAATGGTGTTAATCTCTATTAATCAGGAAACATATTATAAATATAAAAAGTTATGACTATACCAAGTGCTTTGACACCTAAATTTAAGATTTTTCAAAAAGTGGAGTTAGTCGATGTGTGCACTGAGCGGCTCATATGATGACCGAGTCGAAATGACCCAATCTCAGTTTACCCCTTTTAGTGCCGGCCGAAGTCGTTAGCACTTGTAAAACGATGATATATCGTCGACCAGCACTAAAAGGGTTAAGGGTTAAAAAAGGTGGTCCATCTCTTACCCGAAATAACCCTAACAACAAGACTAAATAATGCCGTTAACAAAATCTCACCTGTATGCCGATGTTTCGGTACGAACTGCAAGGGCGGAGGTAAGATAGCTTGTTCGAGGTAGCTTTGCTCCTGTAGTTCCCCGAAGGAGACATTTTTCGCAGTCGCAGGGGGCGGCGTGGGTAGCCTGGATCTATGTTCGTCCCTACACTTAGAGGTCCTGGTGTCTCTGGGAATCTCGGTCTCTTCGAGAACGATAGAGTCCGTTTCCTCGACGGCTTCGGGAACGAAGTCGACGTTGGTCTCACCTCTGGTCCTGATCTCAGGGCTTCGCAGGATCAGAGGTTCGGACTCCTTCGAGTCCCTGGAGTCGGCAAGTCGACCTCTGCGTCTTAGGGCACTGTCGGGGTGCTTCAGGGCTGGTGGAAGGGTCGTTGCATTGCCGACCAAGGTAGCACCAGGAGCCACCAACGGGATTCGTTCGCTGTCGATCGCGATCGCTGGCAACTTCGAGAAGGACGTCTTCTTCCTGAAAAAATCAACACTCGACTATTTCAGATTGATGGGTGGCGATGCACCGCGTGGTGAATGGATAGAACGAGTCGTCGGTGAAGGAATCCATCTGGAGTGATGGGGATCTGGGTCAGACTTGGAGCTGGATCATTGTTTTCCATTGTGGACGGTGAGCTCTATTACATGGAGCTATACTGAATCATTGACAGGTTGCGGTGTCTCTATGAATCTTCATCCAGATGGAGTGGAACTTGGATGATGGGATTTGTCGTCTGCTCCGGGTGTTGGGTCATCATCAGGGTGTAAAGGGGTGGAACTTCACGGAATGATTCAGATTCCACGTATGGACTGATGGACAGGCGTTGCAAGCATGGAATGTTGTCACCTGTTGTGCGCGATCAACTAATCGCGCTTAGAATCGTAATCAGGGTGAAGGATCCCATTTCCTGTGAAAGGAAACCCAAGCCTGACTGAATCTTAACTAATGATCTTGGCAAGATCATTTTCCATTACTACTTTAATTCACTACAACTTCTCGTTACAAGTAATGAATTATTCGAAAAAGAAACTGATCGAATCATAGGTGGGACCCGAACGAGCGACAATTGAGATTTTTAGACTACTTCATATTCAATTATCATACAAATTTTAAAGAAATTATCATCACCGTGAATTATCATCATCACGAAACAACATGTACATTTGAAACCATCCAAATTATGTTACAAAGTGTCTTAGTCGTTCCATGTGCACTGATTAGTTGAATATTGAGGTCAAAGGCAAGTGAAGGATGTGGATTAAATTCGGTTTCTTTGTATCTGGATGAGAATTCGCATTAGTAATCATTATGTGTGTGTTGAGTAGGCGTGATTGAAGGAAAAGAGAAAACCAGGAGATGTCGGGACTCACTATTTTCTGGATTTGGATGCTAATCCACTTTAATATTCATCTCGTGTACGAACTAGGTGTGAATTGAAGACAAAGGGAAGTGATGGAGATGAATAAGACTTGCTGTTTTCTTAATTTGGATGATGATCCTTGCCACTATTCAACTCGTGTGAATTAAAGACAAAGGGAAGTGACGAATATGAAGAAAACTCGCTGTTTCCCAGATAACCTATGAAGTGGAATATACGTTAATTAATCGTCTAAATTAGGTCTGTAGGTATAGCAAATGTATATCGTCTATCATTTACCTAAAAAAAATATCTAAAGGATATATATAAATATCTATGTCTATTGTAGACGAAAATTATGTATCCACTATTGATCTATAAATATCTACTCATTTCTTGACGCATACAAAATTTATAATAGCTCTAGTAGACATCTGCCAAAGGTTAATCAACATCGTTGAAAATACGATTAGAGAAATAAAAAGATACGTCATGTAACCTAATATTTTTCATACATACTTAATGTATATATTTAAATTTCAACTTGATAAAACTATTAAATTCGTCCATACTCTGATTTTTTATTTACTTCCTCTTTGGTTGGGGACCATACATCATAATTTTTTAACACTGTGTAAATAATGATGTATTATCAGGCACCGTATGAAGTATAGTGGACGTACAAATTAGAACATAAGTATAGAAAACTTACATTATCTATGGTATACATACTAAAAATATCCCGTGAATATATATGTAAATCTTTTTCACGCCTATATTTTCAGTACATATATCATAGAAGTCTAGATAACCAATATAAAAATCAAAACTATTCGAAAACGTTAAATTGATAGTTTATATTCAGCNTTTCTGGATCTGGATGGGAATGCATGTCAATGTTGATCTCGTGTATGAACTAGATGTGAAGGGAAGACAAAGGAAAGTGAGCAATATGAAGGAAGTTTGTTGTTTTCTGGGTCTGGATGGGAATGCATGTCAATGTTGATCTCGTATATGAACTAGATGTGAAGTGAAGACAAAGGAAAGTGAGTAATATGAAGGAAGTTTGCTGTTTTCTGGATCTGGATGGGAATGCACGTCAATGTTGATCAGGTGTATGAACTAGATATGAAGTGAAGACATAGGAAAGTGAGCAATATGGAGGAAGCTTGCTGTTTTCTGGATCTGGATGAGAATTCGCGTTAGGGGGTGTCGCCACCCACCACGCCTGATCCCGGCGTTGCCCGCGGGATCCGCCATCGCAATCCCCGTCGAGAGGCCTGATTGGAATAACCGGGACCTGGGCGCTAAATAATCGACGGGGTTGGTTAAGCTCGGGGTGCTTTCGAGGTAGCTCTTGCTCTCGGTATGGCGTGAGTTTCTACCGGGTACGTTTTTACGGGCTTTCGTACTTCGCGGCGTGCTGCTCGGTCGCGGTTACGTTGACGTAGTCGCCTTCGGGTTGCGAGGCCGTCGTCGAGTTCAGGCTGCACATGGACACGGAAATGTCCGTGGTTTCTGTGGTCAGCGACGGTCCTGGAACAGAATAGTTTCGACATATTGGAGAGAGTTTACCCTCCGTGGCCGCGGCTACGACCCCTACGGGATCACTCGGCTAGTCAGGCATTTGGGTGCAGTCGGTGATTCCGAGCACTTGTCAACTCTGACGGCTCAAGCAACACAGCTTCGCGGTCGTCCAAAGTGGAACCGCGAGGGGTTTATTCGAGTCAATTTATCTTACGTTCATTGACGACCTATCATTTATTGACTATGCGTCTAGCTTTGAGTAAATGTGATTTGCCAATCGCATTAGATGCTTGGTTTTGATGTTAGGTGTATCAAACTCTGACGGCTCAAGCAACACAGCTTCGCGGTCGTCCAAAGTGGAACCGCGAGAGGTATATTCGAGCCAATTTATCTTACGTTCATTGATGACCTATCATTTATTGATTATGCGTCTAGCTTTGAGTAAATGTGATTTGCCAATCGCATTAGATGCTTGGTTTTGATGTTAGGCGTGTCAACTCTGACGGCTCAAGCAACACAGCTTCGCGGTCGTCCAAAGTGGAACCGCGAGAGGTATATTCGAGCCAATTTATCTTACGTTCATGGATGACCTATCATTTATTGATTATGCGTCTAGCTTTGAGAAAATGTGATTTGCCAATCGCATTAGATGCTTGGGTTTGACGTTAGGCGTATCAACTCTGACGGCTCAAGCAACACAGCTTCGCGGTCGTCCAAAGTGGAACCGCGAGGGGTTTATTCGAGCCAATTTATCTTACGTTCATTGATGACCTATCATTTATTACCTATGTGTATAGCTTTGAGTAAATGTGATTTGCCAATCGCGTTAGATGCTTGGTTTTGATGTTAGGCATGTCAACTCTGACGGCTCAAGCAACGCAGCTTCGCGGTCGTTCAAAGTGGAACCGCGAAGGGTTTATTCAAGCCAATTTATCTTACGTTCATTGATGACCTATCATTTATTGATTATGCGTCTAGCTTTGAGTAAATGTAAAATTTGCCAATTGCATTCCGTGGTTTGTTTTGATGATAAGTGTAGCTACGAGTGAATGTGAGATTTTTCCAATCGCATTTCATGGCTAGTTTTCGTGATAAGAATAAGTATTTGTAAATATGAAATTTGGCATTCAAATTTCATGGTTTGTTTCGATGATAAGTATAGTTTTGAGTAAGTATGAAGTTTATCAATCTCATTTCACGGTTAGGTTCGACGATGAACGTAGCTACGAGCAAATGTGTACTTTGATACTCGTATTTCGTGATAAGTGTAGCTACAAATAAATATGAAGTTTGGTAACCGCGAATGAATTTAATCATCTGATAAAGAGCAATGAACTGGTAAATTTTTGACAATTATACGGGTTTTTGGAAAAAATGTAGAATTTTTGTTTGCAAAAGAGAGGGTCTCAAGAAGAATTTCTTAAAGCCTATTCTTTAATTTATCAATTTCATTTCACGGTTAGGTTTGATGATGAACATAGCTACGAGCAAATATATAATTTGATATTCGTATTCAATAATAAGTGTAGCTACAAGTAAATATGAAGTTTGGTAACCGCGAATGAATTTAATCGTCTGATAAAGAGCAATGAGCTTTTTTTAATTAATAAATTTTTTAATGAATAAATTTGTTAATCTCATTTTACGGTTAAGTTTGATGATGAAAGTAACTACAAGCCAATATACAATTTGATACTCGTATTTCATGATAAGTGTAGCTACACTTAAATATGAAGTTTAGTAATCGTTAATGAATTTAATCATCTGACAAAGAGCAATGAATTGGTAAATTTTTGACAATTATACGAGTTTTTGGAAGAAATGTTGAATTTTTCTTTGCAAAAGAGAGGGTCTCAAGAAGAATTTCTTTAAGCCGATTAACTTTTATTTGTTTCTTACCGCGACACTGATTACATTTTTTTTTCTTATGAGAATGAATTTACGGTTTGTCAAATTTATACTTTTTTTTTGTTTTATGGAGTGCGTGAATATAATGATAGTCGATTTGGAAAACTTTGGAGTATGCTTTGACAACGATAAATATTTGCCAGAGATAGAAAGTCTGAGTTTACGTAAACATTTTTTGGAAATAAATGTAATGAATTTTTGTATGATATTTGTAAATGAACAAGATAAATGTTGATAATTTTTTACAAGAGCTTTTTGCACGGTATTTATCATTGCTGTGTTACTTGGGACAATCCTGTAAAATCAGTCAACCCGATTATATACTTTTGTAAAAGGGAATAAATACCATTTTGTTTATTTTCTAAGTGCAGGATTTGTACAATAATTTCGCAAAGAAGGATCGAAAGAGTAGTAATTTAAAAGAGGAGATTTTTTTCGTTAATTTATAAATTCTCTGTAGCATTAGTGACATGACAAATTCTGATAAATTTTTTACGGTAAATTCTAATTTTCAAACGCCCGGATTTCAATAATTTCGAGAAAATTAAAATTCAATTTCCGAGAAAATAAATCCAATTCTTTTATTAGTAAACAATAATATATTCATGAAAGACTTTAAAAAAATGTCACGTAGTAGGTACATAATTAATCAAAACGATTGAAATAATTTTGCGGCTATGCCATACATGATATGTGCAAGTAAAGGCAAAATGAGAATTTATTTTTAATTTTATATAAATTCGGTCGCTCTTTAAAATATTCTCATTACAATTACGGTTTTCTAAGAAATACATATGCATATTGAAATTAAATTAAAATTTAATTAAACGCTATCGATCGACTTATTCGATTCAAGCATATTCAATCAAATATTATCTTGCACAAGGGTGGATTAAATAAAGCAACATGCAAATTTTTAATAATGTAATATGTTACTCGAAAGAATTAGGTAAAATGTTTAAATTTAGAGAAATAATGATAATTGTTTAGTTGAAAATGTGCACTTAAGTCATTCAAATTCGATGCGACAGATTTAAGAAAATGTATAATTTCACTTTATTTAATTAAATCGCCAGGCAGACAGGTGCTTTCGATTATTCTGTGCAATATTTTGACTGATACTTTATTTTAAAATCCTGCGCTATTAAAAATATATGCGTACACCGAGGGAAAAATAAAAATCTGATGCATATTTGTGAGAGTGCAGACAACATTTCAACAATTTATTTAATTTTTAATCTCTATTTTATTTCTCATTTCTTTAAAACGGTCTATTAAATTCATGCTCCGATTAATTTTTATCTGTAACAAATTAGATTTTTCTCTCTGTGTACAAAGAGGAAATTACACGTGATTTATAATTTGCATCTAGTTTATTAACCCATTACCTGTTCTTAACCCAGCTTGACACTTATTATCGCATATGAAGCAACACCTTGAAAACTATTATCATTTTCACATTACTATACATCGTAATTAATTAATTTTTCAGAAAAACAGAGACAACACAAATGTTAGTCCAAATTATTTCCTGGCTGTTCATTGGTAGCCATAGATTTTATGAATTTTGAAGAAGCGTTTAATAAAATAATAAGGTAGAATTAGTTATATCAATAGCAACCCGATTTTTAATAAATTCCAATATTATCACATTAATATAAGCGACACAGTGAAATTTAGAAATACTTCCCTAGTAGCATAGAATAATTTCTAAATATTTCTTTGTAATCTTTGCTAAATATCTCAAGCGACATATTTTTTAACATTTCTTGTAGATTTCATTCGAAGATATCTGAAATATTTGTTGAAAATCTCAATGACATAATTAGTTTCAATAATTTATAAACATATATAGAAATTATATTTTTTAATTTATGAACATGTAATAAAATTACATTTCTTTTACTTCATGATTATTATCGGACACTTCATTTGGTATCAAAAGACACAAGAAATTTTTCTAATATTTTCGTTCCGCTATTTCATTATGGGAGCAAAACGTGTGATTTTGATTTTAAGTATTTTTAAAACGTTTACAATGTATTCGGCAGATAATATTTAAAAAATATTTGTATTAAAATGAAACGAAACGTTTTGTATATCTGGTGGAAAAATATTATGAAAACCCATGAAGCCAATATTACATAAACATTATAGAGATAATATTCTAAAGTAAACGTTTTACAAATGTATCAAATTTCTGGTAAATATTTACAAAATGTACGATATTCGTTAAATATATAGAATGAAAACCCATGGAGCTAATATTATATAAATATTATAGAGATAATATTCTAAAGTAAACGTTTTACAAATATATCAAATGTTTGGTAAATATTTACAAAATGTACGATATTCGTTAAATACATAGAAAATATAGGACAAATATTTTGTGCTACTAGGGCTAGTTCTTAGCGACAGATATGCCGAATAATTAATTACGACGTATCGTGTACTTGCATTTTGGATGCATTTCAGTCACCGAAAAAACGAGTTGTTAATGCTAATTTCGATGTATATATATTTCAAGCGAAGTGGTCATTTTCTTTCGTGACAAGTAATGGGTTAAGCGGCGTTGTTCTAAAAGTGAAATGAAAATGTCTACTCACTACCTCAGCCCAGCCAAAAGTGTCGTAGCATACCGAGCTCTTCTTTCAGGGATATCAATCACTTGTTAATCCTTCCTGTCGACTATTGAATTGCACTAAAAAGCTGCACGAATCAAGCGGCATATTTCGTCTCATGCAAAGAGCTGATCGGAGCCACAAGGCACTCTAATTCTGGCTCATTGCGCTCTTAAATCCATACTCGGGACTAACCTTTGTGATTTTGGGTGCCATGCCGCTGGACAGTGGGCTCTAACATATACATATATACAGATAAAGTGTGAATGAAAAGCACTGTAGAATCGAAAAGCTTTACGAGGTGAGCTTTCGAGGTGGTCGTCACTTTAAGTTCTCTCTTGGAAAGTATACGACTTAAATTTATTTACAAGGAAGGTACCCCAGGTCGACCCCTCCGATTTGATTTCCTTTATAATATCTTATAGTAGACTAAAAACTAAGCGACACGTATTTTTTTTTAGCTGCCATTAAACGCTTCAAGGGGGTGAAACCACCATCCAAAGTAAGGCATGTCAAGGGGCGATTTGGCAGTTTCACCCACAAGAACATAATATTTTTTAACCAATCCACCTGGAAAAAGCTTTCTCATAACGAAAAATGAATAATATAATTTTCTGAATTAAAAAAAAATTAAGGAGTGAGCCACTCTTCACAGGCCTTATTTTAGATGGTGGTTTCACCCCCTTAAGGTGAAGTGACACCCCCTGCAAATCAGTCGATTCGAATACAATACTTTTTTTTAAGGGTATTAGACCAAACTGTCCGAAACTTTGATACATCACTCCTGATCATCTAAGAATTGTCCTGACACATTCAAAATTTGGATTTTTTGTAAAAATTCTTCGATTTAGCCCACACCAGAACCAAAATGACGTCAAGCTCTCATATTTCGATTAATATACAATTATCAAAGGATCTGATATGAGAAACGAAAGGGTCAGGAGAATTTTACGACAATTTAAAACACTCTGGTAATTGATAAACTCGCATTTGAACGGGATAAAGCCAAAAAAAAGGTGTTTTACGCGCTTCTATACTAAAACGATCGCAACTTCACCTTAAGGTGAAGTGAAACCCCCTTCAAATCAGTCGATTCAAATACAATACTTTTTTTCAAGGGTATTAGACCAAACTGTCTGAAACTTTGACACATCACTCCTGATCATCTAAGAATTGTCCTGACACATTTAAAATTTGGATTTTTTTGAAAAAATTCTTCAATTTATCCCACACCAGAACCAAAATGGCGTCAAGCTTTGATATTTCGATCAATATACAATTATCAAAGGCTCTGATATGGGAAACGAAAGAGTCAGGAGAATTTTATGACAATTTAGAACACTCTGGTAATCGATAAACTCGCATTTGAACGGGATAAAGGCAAAAAAAGTGTTTTATGCGCTTCTATACTAAAACGATGGGAATACGAGGTCTCGGAGTGAACATTTAATTGACCTGAAAATCACAGATGGCGCAGGGAGTTCCACTACTGTCAATTAGGACCCCAGAAAGCATGAATCCAGAGGATTTCTGGAGTTTTACTTCGATTTCTTTATAATTATTGTATGAAAACAACAAGTGGAGTATGCCATTTGGTACAATACCCAATATGATTCGACACGGCTGTCAATATGAAAATGAACGGCGGCAACGTAGGCATTTAGAAAAAATCTTCTTTTCGACGTCGATCAAGTTCCTCGACGTGTTTCACTTCACCTTAAAGTGCTTAATGGCAGATAAAAAGAAATACGTGTCGCTTAGTTTTTAGTCTACTATAACATATTATAAAAGAAATTAAATCGGAGAGATCGACCTGGGATACTTTCCTTGTAAGAAAAATGGAAAAGTGATGAAAGTGTCTAATCATTTTTTATTCCTCATCAATTGACTTATAATAATTGTAAATATGACTGGCAATTAAATACTCATTCGAAGTATTCAGAAACTACGGCTCGTGCTAGGGAAATGTCAAACGAGCTGCCCCTAGTAGCATAGAATAATTTATAAATATTTGTTTGCAATCTTTGCTAAATATCTTACATGACAGATTTTTTCAGATTTCTTGTAGACGTCATTAGAAGATATGTGAAATATTTCTTGAAACTCTCAATGACATATTTAGTTTCAATAATTTATAAACATATAGAGAAATATTTTTTAACTTATTAACATAATAAAAATTCATTTTTTACTTCACGATTATTATCGGACACTTCATTTGGTATAAAAA